TCCCGGTCTTCTTCCCGGGAGAAAACGACAACGGCTTGACCAGAGCTCACGAGGCTGTCAAGCACCTGGGGGTTAGCAATTTACGGCTGTGATGGCAGCGGCTTCGGCAGAAGAATCAAAAGCAGCAGTCGTATTATGTAGGTGGCGGGGTAGAAGTAGACTAGAGCTTTCGAGTTCAAGCTTCCACCACCATTTTGGCATTAGCTACACATCTCCTCCGACCCTCCAGCGCAGCATGGGTGCTGGTTAAACCGAACTATTCTTGTCCTCCATGCACTTCGATCGCGAAGATAAAGGGGTCCTGATCTAAAACTTTCAATGGTGACCTCAATGGTGGTCAAGCAAACCTTTACATGTGCACGTCCGCAAGCAGCAAGAGCATGTCGAAGCTGGAGCAGATCCGACGAAATCTTGCAGGGGGAGTCAGCTTCGACATAGCTGCAGCATCAGCAGCGGTCTTGCCCTCATCGCCATTCAAATGCAGAGGCAGTTCTAGTAGACGTCGGAAAGGTTGCTAGTCATTATAATGGGGGTGGTGGTGGCAACAGCAGTGCTGAAACAGCAGCATCAGCAGCAGTGGTTTTGGCTTGGTGAGTAATGCTGATCCCTTACATCGACTCCGAAGACCGACCTACAAAACAGCACGAACCGCCCCCATCTTGCAAGCTTGAACTCCAGCATTGTGGTGTGGACTGTGAACCTTTCCTCCATGATAAAGGCCCGTTGTGGAGATCTCGCAAATATCAGTCCTCTAATCCCGGCCTTCGCATGGTCATGAATCTTGAAATGAATATGATTACAAATATGCCGTGCACCTCCCGACACGTTTCCAGAGGAGTATGTGCGACTAGGCCAGGCACATGTCCATCCTGGCTACTGGCCATCATCTCCCGAACGTCGGCGAGTTCTGCAGGATAAACGCCCAGGTGAGCATCTGCCTGCAGGAGATTCGCCCCCTACTGTTAATGATATAAATCCTGCATTACCTTAACAAGGACCCTAAACTATGGGAGTTATGGTATATTCCTAATTATGGGTATAATGCAGGGTTTATATCATCAACCGTAGTGGTGGTGACAGCTCTCCGCATGAGGCGTAAAACTCAACCCTAAACCCTCACCCTAAAAGCCTAAAGCATTAGCATTTGGGGCTTCGAGCACTCAATTAAGACTCAACTTTTCGAAACCTGCTCTCCAGATGCTTCTGCCAAGGATATAACAGCATAAGGCTACGTTGTGGATATGTGGGATAGATGGATAACCTATCTGTCTGTCTATCTACATGTGCATCTGTCTACGTATCTAACTATCCAGCTGTCTACTGTCTATCCGTCTAAATATCTTTCTATCTGTTTCTCTCTCTCTCTCTCTCTTTAGATCTACCAACAATCATCTATCTGTCTAGTCTATCCATCCATCTATCTATCCACCAATCTAATTATCTACTGGGTTGTCGGGGAACCTTCTTGATTCTTGCATCACCCCAACAGGCAAACTCCCTGGCACACGCCTGCTCCGCCACACGCAAGATGCGATTCTCTACAAACTCTGCTTCCTCTGACAAGTCGTAGGCAATGGACACCTCACAATCACACGCCTTCCCCACACGCACAAAAACAAGGCAACACACATGCACGAAGAAACGCTCCAAGGACTCGACTCCCTCGACTTCGAAGCCCAAGATGGACTCGAAGAAGGCCTTCACCTGTCTTCGCACTACTCGGGCTTATGACATGGACGCTTTGGAGTTTAGAGTTCAAAGTGCTGTGGTCTAGGTTGTTAGGGCTCTGGTTTGATTTGGGAACCCTCAACTTAACCCTGAACCTGAAAACCTATGCCCTGAACTCCTAAACCCCCCCGAAACCCTGCTTGCCCTTCTTGATGCCACCATCCGAAAACAGAAACTAAGCTGGCAGGTACACAGAGGGCCCCAAAAATCATGACGTGCCTGTTGGAAGCCCCCCCCTTTTCCTGAACGCTAAGCCGCCAAATCCCAAAAACTCTAAACCCTAAACCCCCAAAACCCAAAACCCTAAACCCCCAAAACCCAAAACCCTAAACCCCCAAAACCCTGAACCCCCAAAACCCTAAACCCCCAAAACCCTAAACCCGAAGACCCCAAAACCCTAAACCCGAAGACTCTAAATGCTTAAGCCAAGACATGGGAGACCTCGTGGGGAGAGCGAGCCGTCCTCAGCTTTCAGGAAGGGCTCAAAGTTACGGGTGTAGGGGTCAGGGTTTAAGCTTTTTAGGGATGAAGGGTTGAGGCGCTGAGGATCAGGGATAATCATGGTAAAAGAACAAAGAGCCACGACATGAAATGATACTTTTGCTGGCAGGCGTGGGTTCAGAGCCCATTTCTCTTCCTTCCATATAACCCTGGCTTCCCAAAAACCCCTAGCACTGTCCTGACTTTTGCTGGCAGGCGTGGGTTTGGAGCCCATTTTTCGAAGCAAGTCGGCGGCACCAGAACGAGATCAGCCCTCCCCCAACAATTGAAGTCCTGTCCTTGAAGCTCCTAGAATTCAAGAAACGAGCGCGGTAAAATACGTATGTGCATGGCCCTACCTGCATGCCTGCCTACCTACTTGCCTGCCTGCCCTCTTCTTACCCACCTACCGACCTACCTGCCAACCTGCCTGACTGCCTACCGTCCTGCCTGCCTGCTGTATGTATGTGTGCATGCATGTATGTGTGCATGTACATATACTTGTATGTATATGCGTATACATACATACATACATACATACATACATACATACATACATACATACATACATACATACATATATATATATATATGTATACGTATGTGCACGCACGCATTTACGCAGTTGCAGAACTAGACCACTACGCATGTATGTATGCATATGTATGTAGGTACGTACGTATGCACCCATGTATTATGTACGGTAAGTAAATAAGTATGTATGCATGCGTATGTATGTACGTATGTCTGTAGTTGCACAAATGATCCTGTATGCATGTGTGCATGTATGCGTGCGTAAGTATATGTTACATGCACATGTATATGTGCAGAACTGTGTAGGTATACGTAAATGTAGATGTAGATGCCTGTATTAGTATGTATATGCATATGTATGTGAACATGAGTATGATTATGAACATGTATGCTGCACACGTATAACGGTATACATAAAGGCTTATAACCATATGTCTATGTCTATTTATACATGTACACGTACATGTAACATTCAGAACTACACGACCGAGATTCATTGCTTATATACTTTGATGACAGTCCCGGATTCTCAGCTGCAAAAAACTCGGATCCCTTGAAGCTGGCAATCGTCATCTTCAACTTTGAGCTTCTGGCGCTAGGCTCTAGGCCCATATCTCAGCAGGAAGCTCTAAACCCAGCTCCTGAACTATCCCTGGCGCCCGAAGAGTGGCACCACAGTCGCGACAGCTAGCGTTGCTCAGTAGTGTTGCAAGCTTCCCCCGCAAGCTCCTAGACTCTTGGACCAAAAAACCAGGGCTATGCAAAGGTTTGACCTTTGCTCCGCTCTGGGGCGGAGCTAGACAACCGAATAAAGTGCTCGTCAGACTTAGGCCTGGACTTTGGGAAGCCCTCTGCCATCAGAGCGTAGTCCGAGATGTGAGGCAACTGCGAAGCGCTTGCTCGGTTTAAGCAGCATTACACCGAAAGAACATGCGCCCTGGGATTTCCCAAGAAAAGGCTGAACCAGAGACTTGGCCGTTCAAGACTTCAAGATGCAGCGTTTCGGATTTGAGGCTGCAGAAACATCCAATGTCTTTCTAGACCCTACAGTCAGTGTTGAATGAGAGCGAGATCCGCTAATCCTCTTGTCGGCTCGATACGCCCAGACACGACGATTTCTAGGCTTGGGGTATAGGATCGAGGGTTGGCAGGCACGAAGGCCATTGATAGGCGTGCCACAAATACATCATATCATTACAGTAGCTGTTCCTGTTACGATTGTAACTTGTTTACATACTCTAACCATAAACACTAATCACTAGTCTAATTCTTGCGATTCCCCTAGTTATCACGAACGCGAAAACTATCATGATTATTGTAGATGCTACGACCGGTCTAACAATTCCAACTGATTAGCATTCCCATGTTGGTGATACGTATGAGAATTTTAACCTTACTACATCTCTTACATTTACCATTATGCTTCTCAGTCGTCATCGTTGTAGTAGTAGCAGCACGTACGAACATCTCTGTAGTTGTTTCGAGTAGTGGCGGAAACTTGCAGCTCGAGTCGCCCAACTCCTGTAAAAAGTCGGTGGCTTTTCGGGCTTGTAACGGGTTTCAAGTTTTTTTGTTGACACCTCTTTTCCTTGCGCATGGGTATGGGGTCGGGATGCCCGGGCGGCTGAGGCGGGTGTGTGGGAGACCGAGGCTGAAGAGCTTCCTACACCACCATTCTCGTACTAGCTGCTCAGTCTACCAAACACTGGGCCCATCGGAGTGCCTTGGTAGCCCGAGTCGCCCACTCATCACATGCACACGTCAATACGATGATCAGAGGGGACTCTGGACGATAGCTACCATGACACAGGGGTTCTGAAGGTCTACTGCCTTGCTGCGCAATCAGCCGGAAGAAAAGACAAACAACGACAAATCACTTCCGTGCAGTACACCTAGAGACAATGTTGCAGGCTTCGGCAAGTCTGCTGCTACGCAGCTGACATAGCTGTCCATCTGAGCAGAACCAAATACCGCGCGACTCTCTGAAACAATTCAAGACGGTTCCAAAAACGGAAGCTCTCCATGCCAACACAAAGGCTGCGGCTTAGCGCCACCTGTGATTTCGCATGGAGCAAGTATATACAAGTCCAGAGCAACCGAGTCAGAACCCCTTCGGTTGTCCATAAACTTCCTTCGAGCTAAAAGCATATTCTGAGCTGTTGGATAGCGATTTTGATGCACTGCACTGCATAAGAATAGAAACACAGCAAGCAACACTACAACGGCGATAATGTCGAAGTAAGCTCGCCATGATTGGCTCAGAAATCGTCCCCTCGAGACACGACCTCCTTGCACGTCGGCCGCAGCAGAATGGTGTGCTCCATCTGCGTGACGTAGGAGCCCTTGACATCGCATAGGGGCGGATATGGCTGGACAATGTCGTTGTCCACGAGATTCTTCAAGGCCATCAAGTGACGGGTCTGGCCCAGGTCATCCAACCAGCGTCGGCAGAAACCTAAGGTTCCAAAATTCTGCTCGATCGTATGAAGCAGGGCCTTTGAGCTCTTCACGCGCAGGGGCACATGTTGCGCATCGAAGATCTTCATGAAGTGGGAGCACTCGAGATCCTCCACCACATAGCCTTTGCCATTGGAGGCAAAAGTTTCAATGGCGTAGAACTCCCCCTCCTCCATGATGGAAGACTCTTGGTTCTTGGTAATGGGCACCGACTTGGCGCCGTGGATCCGGTAAGGTTCAATGGAGTGGCCGTTGAGGTTCCGTACCGACTTGATGGGCCAGGTCTTGCCATTCCTGGCTTCTTGTTAATGGATTTAATTCAAGTTACCATAATAGGGATCTATTGTAGGTAAAAGGGATGCTTTATTCTGGTAACTGATATCTAACATCCCTTAACAAGAGCCCAGATTCAGCTCGATCTCGTAGGACTCGATCGTCTCCTGGATGGCGGCTCCGATGTCTTGGAAGCGCGCATCGATGCCCGCTTCCTTGACCTGGGTTCTTGTTAAGGGATAGGGTTTAGGGTTTAGGATTTAGTGTAAGATACCAAAATGAAGAAGCCCTGTTATTTACAATGGATCCCGATTATGGTAACTTAGATTAAATCCCCTAACAAGAACCCAGTGACTCCGGTGTTGGTACCTGCCTGACTTGCCTCAATGATGGGGTCATACCTCTCATTGAAGGCGATGGTAAAGGCGCAGTCGACGATACGACCACCGACTTGAACACCGAAGTCCAACTTGCAGACGTCATCGTATTGCAAGACAGTTTCGTCCCCATAGTTCGGAGTGTAGTGGGCGGCCACCCAGTTGAGGGAGCAGCCCGTTGGGAAGCCCCATCCTGCTTCCAGGCCGTTCGCTACCACCAACTCGTGGGTTTTTCTCTCCAGGCGCTGGCAGATCTCCGTCATCTTCAGCCCAGGCTTCACGAAGGTCTGCACGTACTTCCTGACCTGGCGATGGACCTCTCCGGCTTTGCGGATCTTCTCGTAGTCGTAGGACACGAGCCGCTCCATCTCACGCTTCTCAGCGGATGTCGTCCGGAAGGCGTGGGATCCGACATACTCGACGCACTCTCCGAGAGGAAACTGACTGTCAGGATACTGCTCGCTGACGGGAATGTCGAAGACTGGGCTTTGCCGCGACGTGGGCACCGCAGCCCAGTTTCGGACCCGGCGGAGGGCGGTATTGTCCTGCTCGGGGATGCTGAAAGCCTTTGCCCCACCTCCTCCGGCCTTCTTCTTCTTCTTTTTCTTCTTCTTGTCGCCTGCGGCGTCTGCTGCATCCGCCTTGTCCTCCTCATCGCTTTCTTGCGCAGCATTGGGTGATTCTGCACTTGCCGGCACAGCTTCTTCATCCTGCGCTGCATGCCCTGCTGGGTCCTTCTTCTTCTTGTTCCTCTTTTTCTTCTTGGCTGCGGCACCGGCTTCTGCCGTCTCGACCTCTTCCTCCTGCTTTTCCTCGGGATCTGGATCCACCATGCTCTCTGCGAACAGAACGCGGAACCAACTACACTGTTCAAAGCGCTCCGAGCCAAAGACTTCTGCTTGAGCCGAGGGTTTTGGGGCTTCGGTCTACTTCAGTGGCTTCAGCTGCACCCACACGGAGCAGATTGCATGGCAGCTGCAGCAAAAGAACTTTTCAGGGGGCGATGAGTAGCTGCTCTGAGCATCGACTGCTCAGCAAACTTTTTTGTACCCCCACTCTTCGGTGAACAGCACAGAGACGCGAAGAGCCAGCTTTAAGGCAGACTCCAACCACGGGGCAGAACTTCCAAAACCCCAGACCCGAAGGGTGACTTCAGGCCTCCTCGTGTTCGGCACGAGCAGCACGTCCTTGTGTCCAGATCCACCGGATCACAGCGAAGAAGACAAAGACCTCACTGGACAAGAGGGCAGAGCCAACGAGTTGCGCAGCTGGCTTTCCCTGGCCCTGAGGCAAAGTAATATGACAACTTTATGATCGAGGTATTAAACTTTTGCTACTGACAGTGCAAACGATACGAACCACTCATACTCTGATGAAAAATAGGGCAGCTTTCGCCGAGGCACACTCAGAGCCCATGGAATCTGTCTAAGCCCAGATGGGGACAACAGCAACACGACAGAGCAACAGTCAACAGAGCGATCATCATCACTGTCCGCACCATCACAGTCACCATGATGAACAACATCATCCTTATCACCCTGCGTCGCCCTCGTCATTATCACCATCACCAGACCAGAAGCAAACCATCATCGTGATGACAGTACGAAGAGTTACCAACAACATCCTCACGGTCATCGCCACTAATCACTAATATCTGCATCACCATCTCCAGCATGGTCCGCTTCTTCTCCATCAGCATTCAGGTGAGCATCACATCGTCACCACCATCACCACCGCCGCATCGTTATTCTGAACCGAAACCCACCTGCCACCCAAGCTACAGAGTGAAATCCTCAACTGCAGAGGAGGTCACTTATCGTAGTCTGGGGGCTAACATCTGTGTACTGAAGCCCACATACACTCCCAAAACCACCAGGGCACAACCCCACCAAAGCTTCACGAACAAACACTCTCCGAGACGGCAGCAAAGACCATGACAGCGTGGAGCTTCTGAGCGAGGCCTTCAGCTTGGCTTATGCTTTTGTGTATAAACAAACTTTACATACATACATACATACATACATACATACATACATACATACATACATACAGGTATACATGCATACATCATGTTTGCTTGACAGCTGGGTATGTACCAGCAAATGCTACTGCAGCTAACATCATGACCATGATGATACGGGAAGTTGGATACAGCGTTTTTGGTATGTATGCATGAGCATCATCCCTAGGCATGTGAGCAGCCATATTACATGAGTATATGCTCCAAAGGTTTCCAGCCCCAGGGTTTGCCGAGCTTGAGGCTTGAGCATTGGGTCATCAGGTTTAAATTGCTAGGCTATGGGCTGATAGGTTGAGAGTTGCGGGATATCTGCTGCGAGTCACGATATTAAAACAACTTCCTGCATGCCGTCGAAGCAGAGGCTGCAACTCTCTCCGAGAGCCGCATGCAGGAAGATGGATAAGTTCTGGTCACCGCGCCTTGACCCGTACTGTATGATGTGGGTGTTTGTTTCTCGCCTTCCACTGACCAAGATTTGTCAGCAGCCAAACCAAAAATCCCATTAGACATGAACTCCATGTCAAGTGGCTTTTAGCCAAACGATCGAAGAGTCGTCCATCACAAGCCTTGCGGCGATGAGAAGAGCCGAGGTCGCAGCCAAGCTGTTCAGGTCGAATGAGTCGAGGGGAGGATGCGCTTTCTTTGGTCAGGTTAGGCAAGAAGTAGCCTGGCAAGTAAGCTCCTTGCGCTAGTGTTGGTCTTGCAAGTATTTGTGCAGGTTCCGGCTGTTGGCACGACAAGCATTGCAGGCGCCTATCAGTGACAGCACAATCAAGAAGAAACCTCAGGCCAGGCTTCCGACATTTGAGAGATATCAGTTGCAAGCAGCCGCGGGAAGCAGGGGCAAGACACAGAAAGCGAGGAGGCAACGCAGGGCTCCCATCTGAGATCCGAGCTGAGTAGCGCCTTCAGCCATGCGGAAGACATCAATGCTGAAAAGCAACGCGAAGCAGAAGTTGCGTGCTGGGCCTTGTCAAACTACCAAATTGTAGATTCTGTAGACCACCCAGACAGAATGCCCTCCCTCATGGCCCTAGAGCTGCGAGCCCGTTCCCAAGTCCCCAATCGCATGGGATGGTCTGGCATCAGTTGCCTTCTGCTTTTTCGGTTGAAGAATCCCCGAATCCCTCCGAGGCTGACGGTATCTCCCAGCAATCAAACGTGGCAAGCACGAGCCCCCAAGTACGAGAATCCTCAGACCTTGAATCGGCCCTACCCGCCGAATCCTCCCTCCATGTCTACGGGTCGGCCTGGAATGCCAGGTGTCGGAAGTAGAGAGCCGGGGCAAGACCCGAAATGTTCTCCCTGGCAGGAGAAGAGTTTTGGGGTTTCTGATAACAGAACAGAACCTAACTTCAAAGGAATAGGACCCATAGAAACCCCTGCGCCTCTGCACGTTGGTGGCAAGCAAGGGGTAAAACCTTGAAATCAGCGGCAGCACCAAGTCGTGAGGCAGAATTAGCAAAGTGAACGTCTTTAATATAGGAGCCTTAATCATTAGAATAGGGTTTTGGTGCCCCTTATACTATAGTTGTTATAGGGAACCCCCACAATAGTATTGGTAATTCTTCAGGCCCCTACTTGGGGGATCATGGGACTTAGTAAGTAAGGTTATAAGTCCCTTAATTGGGGTTATAAGTAAATATAAGTATAGTTAGCTTAGTTATAACCCTACTTACTAAGTCCCATGATCCTTTAAGTGCCCTAAACCCTAAACCCTAAACCTAGGCCCCTACATTATCCCTCATGCTGGGGCTCCAGCACATTACCCGGGACGGAGTAGTTGTGGACCTTTGCCCGTCTCCGATGTTGCAGAGAATGCTCCAGGGCGCCTGCGACCACAGGAACGCTGTGTGCTCCCGTCGCCAAGAGTCTGGAGCTTCGGGCTTAAGCTGCGGTCCAGCAAAGGCGAATCTTCTTCAGAATTGCGGAATCTACAGTACTACAGCTGAACATGCACCCTCACACTGCGGGTGCCCGCAAGTTCTAAGCAACAAAGATGCCCTGAAGGGATTCACCAGTCAACACCATCCCAACTGTTGAAAGCCATCCCGAATCTCAGACCAAACAAATCACCGCTCTGCCTGGGCTGCGGGCCGAGACCAGGCTCAAGCAGAGAAATCTGCGGAAGGCGGATGTGGTCCCGTGCTTGGGTGTGTGATCGGCTTGATGTGACCTTCGACTGCATGTTCTGCAGTTGCTCGCAATGCTTGTCAATGGTTTTTGCCTTAGCGCTACTGCAAGTTCAAGCTGGGTCATTTGACGATCCAAGCCCCCGCTCACTGCACCACAAGCACAGCCCACCTCAGCAGCGTCAGCACAGCAAAGACCACGGTGAAGAGGAGCAGGCCGGCGAAGATGAAGACTGCAGCATATGGGCCACATGGATAGCATGCTTCACTTCATAGTCCTGATACATCTTAGCTGCTTGGACTAGTCATGCGGTTAGCATAAACATGTCAGGAAGTACCGAACCTGTAAGACTTCTGACAGTTTCCTGGTTGCGGGGTCCGACTGTTCTTCAGGTTGCAGCGTCTTCCCTGTGATCTGCATCCGCCAACTACTGTTGGATGCAGCTGAACTTGCAACAAGATCGACTTTCTAGGGCCCTGGCTGAAGACAGAGACGCACTGCTTCTCATCTTCGCTGCCGAGGCTGCCGAGTAGACTGCCGATTGCATCGTCCGGGCCCAGGAGGAGGCGCGTGAGCGGAAACATGCACTCCTCCAAGCAGAGAAAGCCCGGCTACAATCGAATAAACTAAAATGCTTCGAAATCTGCTGTTACGTTCGTGTGCACGCGCCTTTTGTCTTATCTTGATATGTGTCTGGGATGTTAATGGGTATGCTTCATTCATAGGTAGCTCGCCTCATTTGGAGGGCCGTCTTCAGGACTCGGTCCACCAGATATGACATGACACCAGAGTGGAACAGAGGAAGTGTGACTGCTTTCGCTCGCCGGTCCTGACAGCCATCCTCCTTGCTGCAGGTGTCGCACCCCGCCACGGCACAGGCATGACAGACCTGCTCCAATACGACAAGCTTTCACCAGCTATGCGGCATTTCTGACACGCTCCATGCAATGAGCTGAAGAAAAACACACGACCGGAGACATTTATGCTCATCACAGGCTACAACGCGATGCGCTTCATTACCTTGCTTGTTGCTCGTCCTCCAGACTTACTTCACTAAACGCGCAAACATGAGACCCACAGAGCACTGACGCACATCAAGATAGGTGGCCTGGAAGTTGTCCGCATACGTGGTCATAGGGCGGTTCTGCAGCATCTCTTGATAGACTCTTGGAAATTTCGTGATGTGAACGCACAGAAGCATCACAAAGGTAAGCTGCTAAGGGCAATGCGACTGTACAATTTGTGTCGCTGGAAGCCAAATTTCCGATGAAATACCTTGGCAACAGGAGCAACAATCAGTTGTCGAATCCACACCCTGAACCCTATAAAACCCAAACCGAAAAGAGGCCAATAAGAAAACGAGGCCACCACCGTTTGCCATTCACATGCTCGCATGGGTTCCGCCCTGTCCAGGCTGTCAGAGGCACCGGCTCCATGGCATCATGCAGCGATACGTCCCCTACTTGTCAGGAAAGCTTCGAGGCATGTAGGACTCTGCTCATGCTCTGAAGTTTTGCGATGGTAGTGCACCGAGAAGTTGCTGTAGTCGTAGTGGTACTTAGTACTGTTTGTTGGTAGTCTCCGGTAAACATCGTTCGTCGGCGACGTCCCACTGTGGGGGCTGATCTTTGCCCTAGTTAGCTTTCAGGGTCTAGGGAGGCCAGGCCAGTGAAGCATGGG